CTCGGTCAATTAAAAATAATTTAAATAAAGAAAAATGTTATTACTTCACCACAAATTGCAGTAATCTGGGACGTGACGTAGGTATCTCAACGCGCGGTATTATTACATGTTCCAAGAACTTAAAAGTACCATATGTACAAAGTACAGCTACATTAAGAATTCAACTCAGTTCTGTGAAATTATTCAAAATTCATGTATCCTGAATCCACATTTCATTAAAAAATGTTTTACGGCGAAATTACACTTCGCTCATTCGTTTAATAATTTGTCGATGTTGCAGTTACTGGAGCAAAGATAATTTTCAATGGATGTCAAAAAGTCAATATGCCTAAGAGATCACTGCACAACAATATCGAACTTTTTTTTTGTTGCATGAGATTTTTCACCTCTTATTTACTAATTTAGGCTCGCTTATTTTAAATCTACTCTCAGATTTTTTCTAGCAGCTTTAGTTTAGGAGATACAGGTACCCTCTTGAAATGTACTCTCTATTTGACTGTTGATATCGCTATCGTCAACGTCTTACTAGTTTCTGTTGCTTTTCTTGCAATGGCTTCGTCAAGAAGGACCTGTGTAAACAATCTAAATAGATTTTGTCACATTTATGGCAAAAATATATTCAACAACAACAACAAGCTCTGGATATCGAATATACTGTGTAAAACGTGTGCAAAGTCTTTACGATTATGGGAAAATAACAAGAGAGATCTCTTGAACCTAATTAGTCCTTTAGTCCTTTGATGTGGCGTGAACCGTCGAACCACTACGAATAACGACTGTTATTTCTGCGTCGTAAATATAACAGGAATTAACAGTCAAAATCATTCCAAGTGGGTTTATCCTACTGTGCCGTCAGTTACTAGATCTGTCTTGCGTTCATCTGATACATTAGAACCCCAACCAAGTACATCCTCAGGTACGTCCGCACGAAATTGTTCAAGGAATGGAGGAAAGTGACACAAGCTGCGAAGACCATTCAACCAAGAGGATCTAAATGATTCAATAAGAGATCTCGGATTGTCTAAAGCTTCATCTAAACTTCTAGCTTCTCGATTGAAAGAAAAAAAAAATTGGTCACCAAAAAAACGAATGTCTCACCGTACCAGGAAAGAAATTACTTCCTTTGTTTTCTAATATTCCGGAAATGGTGACTGAAATGGGATTAAAAAGATACGACCCTGATGATTGGCGTTTGTTTATAGTCTCAAAACAGTCTTGAATATGTCCTTTTACATAATGGCAATAAACTTGGCTCTTTGCTTTTTGCTCATTCAACCAAAGCTAAAGAAGAATATTCCACAATATTTCTGGTTTTAGATAAAATTAAATACACAGAACACAACTGGCTCATATATGTGGACTTGTAGATGGTTTCTTTTGGGCCAACAAAGACTCAATGATATGTCATTCGACATATCCGTGTTTTATTCGCTTGTGGGACAGCAGAGCTAAAACTGAGCATTGGACCAGAAAATATTGGCCACTTAGACACGAATTAATACAACACAAGTTTAATGTAGTAAACCCCCCTTTAGTGTCTCGGGAACGTATTATATTCCCTTCCTTACACATCAAACTAGGATTGATGAAGCAGTACGTAAAGGCTCTAAATAAAGAGGGGGAATGTTTTCAGTATATAACCAGATCGTTTCTAAAATGGAGTGCTGGTAAGTTAAAAGCCGGAATTTTCGTGGGCCACAAATTAGAAAATTAATAAACGATGTAAATTTTACTGAAAGTATGACAACCGCTGAAAAAATGACTGGAATGAGTTTGTTTGCCTCCTTAAAAAACTTGTTGGAAAATAAGAAGTCCGTCGACTTTCCTGACCACGTCAAGCAGTTACTATTATACTTTTTTTGAAACTGGATGCAACACGAGCATTAAGATGCATTTCCTTCATAGCCACCTTGATCGATTTCCTGAAAATCTTGGGAGATTTAAGCGACGAGCAGGGGAACGCTTCCTTAAGGATATTCGCACCATGGAGAAGCGCTACCAGGGCTATTGGAGGGAAAGTATGATGGCTGACTACTGTTGGATCATGCAGAATAGTATAGTAACACTCAAACTCATTCAAGAAAGTTACATAAAAGAAAGTTTTGTTCTAATTAGACAGTTAAATAAATTTTAATATGACGGAAAACCATGTTTTTTGATAGAAGTAGCTACTCTTCATATTTCAAAAAGTAGAGCTGCTAGTAAAAATCTGAGTACAGATTCTTGAGACTTGAGATTCAGGATACACTTAACAATACCACAGCATAAAACTTCTCTATTTCGCGGATCTTTTACTTACCATATTGCCTACTCATATAATCGGATACCCATTGAATATAAACCTCTGCCATTAGGAAGCTTCAAACGAAAGATAAAAAAATATCTTCTTACAATAAATAGATCCAACTAATCGAATTATCTGGAAATCAATCAAACTTTCTCCAAGCTCAACAAAATAGGTATATATATATTTGTATTTCAATTCCGCTGTACCTCTATATTTGTTGCACTGTTCAAGATAGCATACTGTTTTTTTTGTTTTCTCTCTTTTTTTTTGTTTCTACGGTTGGATGGAAGAGCAATCTCTGCGATGATTTATCATACGCAGATATTGAATCCTGCCATTTGATTGGTTGTAATTGTATGGAACCATCAATAAATATTATTATTTGGAATCAGGGTAAAAAATGCAGCTAGATCCATAAAAAACATTTTATGCAACGCTGTTGTGAGAGAGTAATTTATTTGGAAGTATATCTTACAGGGAAATGTTCCCATTAAAAAAAATCACACGGTTACAAGTAATTATTGGTTATTATAACTCATAAGTAGACATTTAGTTTTAAATGAAATGAAAGTTTGAACTATAAATCACATTCTGGGTTGATTTTAATTCATATCGGTAGGTAAATGTATTGAATATGAGCTGTACATTTCAAATTATTGTTAAATTAGAATTTTGTTAATTCTGTTTGAACATCGTCATGTTTTTGATTTATAAATGAGATATAATTCACAAGTGCCGAGGAAACATAACACAAATTCATGTGAAACTCTCGATTTCGAAATGATGTTTTTGTGGACTAACACATTTTTAAAGTTTTATTTTTTTGGATGATAATAAAAACGTATCGAAGAAGATAACCACAATCCAGTCACTCGGTCTGAATTGAGGTCGCAAGGAACAATTTACTTCCATCATTACATAAGGCATATGGTTTTCTTAGGAAGGTGTGCTAAAATCCGGCCCGAGGTATTGATCATGAAATGACAGGGGTGTTTTTTCGTCACCCTGGTCTACCGTAATTGCATTAGATACAGGACCTACCGTTAAATATTGGCGGGGTTATTTTGCTAAAAAGCTACAAAAGTGGCTGCATCTGCAGTCGGCTACAACAATATATTAACACAGGAACAAATCCTATGTTGATAAATCCAAAAGTCTCATGTAGTCCAAATAACGGCTTTTAACAAAATTTGCAAAATAACCCCGGCAACATATAATGATAATAATTAACGATTTTATTGACGTACTAAAAATGGAATAATTACTCATTCCTCATAAAACTCTACCAGAAAAAAACGCCACAGGGCAGGGTTCAAATTCATACTGAAGAAAGGAGTTGTTCTTCCACCGTCTTGAAATAGGATTTTGACACTCCTTACCAAATGGCATCCATTATCAGTCGAAATTTGACGTTTGCTTTGAGAAAATTCAAAAATTTAATTTTTAAACCGACTTTCATACCAAAAAATCAAAGTAGGGTTGAATTGTTTTTTTTACTTTCTGATATATATTTGTAGTCACCAGTTGACACAAACGATTGAAATTTACTTCGTCATAAACAATAAGTACTGTTCAGTTTTTATATTATTTTTTTGGAACGTAATTAAAAATAAATACAGTCAAAAGTTTTCGACTGAGAAAAACAACAATAACTTATTCCTTTTTTTGAAAAATATAACTGAAATACTCTTTAAATTGATATCCTTATGAATTTTAAGTAAGACTAAATTAGGTGCCTAATTAAATATCGTAAAACGCGTAAATAAATCCTTTACTTTTACTACAAACATTTCTTCTTCTGACGATGTTAGTAGCATTTATATCAATACTGGAGTTTTTTCAAACACTTAAATTGAGAATAAAAGGTACTATATATTTCCAAACCATTATAAGACGGTTTTCCATTATTCACCGGATTTAATACTCATTTTATTTGCATTATTTGGAAACCTTCATGAGTTATGTATTGCTGATCAAGTCAAAATGTAGATAAAATCTTAGGAAACTTTTGCTGTTTGAACTTTTTATCGGCAATTTGAGCTCATTTGCATGTTCAGTAGTTTTCAAAGCTATCAATGAATTAACTAATCAGTTTATTAAGCATAAATTTAAATTGGAACTATGTTGCAAATAGTTGAAGAGGGCCTTGCAAAATATAAACATTTGCCAAAACAACTCATATTCTTCCTCGAGAAAGAAATATCTCCTGAAAATATAACACTTTCCATTCAAACTTAGATTCATTCTTTCTTAACCTGATTTTTGTTCACACTTGATATAGAAACTTCCTCAAACTCGAAAATGAAAAATATATTATCTGACCATTGAGTTTTATTTCCTTCATTAACTGAATATCTCGCGAAATATTCAGAAAGACAACATATATCTTTGAAATTGATATCTTAGGGTGTTTATATTTTATAAAACACCAAACCATGGTTTGGTGTTTTATAAAATCACTGCTATTGCGATTCTACTGAAAAACCGGTTAGATATGAAACACGGTTTCCTGAGAACTGGTGATCCAAACCGATGATTTTGTTGTGAGATTGATAATGGAGAAGTTTCACGATATTGTTATTGAAGTTTTGACACCGTGTGATATCCATTCCATTTCCACTAAGATCTTATGGATATTTATATCCAAGGATATTACGACCTGACTTGACGTCATGTTCATTTTAGTAATAAAATTTTTCTTTTTTTATTACAGTTACGATATGGTTCATTTTGGCCATGCAAATTCTCTCAGACAAGCCAAGGCATTGGGCGATCGCCTCATAGTCGGAGTTCACACAGACGAAGAAATTACGAAACACAAGGGGCCCCCGGTCTTTACGGAAGAAGAACGATACAAGATGGTCAGAGGTATTAAATGGGTTGATGAAGTGGTGGAGGGGGCACCTTATGTGACAACATTAGAAACTTTAGATAAATATGACTGTGATTTTTGTGTGCATGGGGATGATATTACGATGACGGCAGATGGAATCGATACCTACCAAATTGTTAAAGATGCCGGAAGATACAGGTGATATTTTCAATATATTTTTGTGACGAATTGAAATATGTTATACATTTAGTCTTATGGAACACCATTTCGGAACTACGCAATCATTCACTGCCTAGGAAATGAAATTGTTGATTTTGTTTCAGGTGTTTCTGATCAATAAAATAAGTAAAAAAAATATATCAAACGGATTTATCAAAAATAATTATAGCTTTTTATTGACCCAAAACTTCAGGTTTCCAACTTCTAAACTGACGAAATTCAATGCAATCTTTGACCCCTATTTTTCCCCTTGGGGGTGGAAATACTTGATTCTCTTTCTTGATGCTTATTTACGCTATACAATGAACCTACCTGCATATTTCAAGAGTCTAGGTTCAGTAGCTTCGGCTTTACGTTAATATGAGAGCGGGCAGCAGCTAGTAATTTATATTTTTACTTTAAAAATACAGTAACTAAAAAAATCCTATCGGAAACCACTCAGAACCATCAATAAGTTTCATAACATTTGACCAAAGCAAATGTGCAAACATTTCTGAAGTATTTCAACCTCAAAATCAAAACCGTTGTCCCATTGCACCACATATTCCATAGTTATATTTGTTTCCATTGGAAGGATGATACTGAAGATAGTTTCATAGTACACTTAGTTTGACAATAAAGTCGAATAATGACATCAGAAAACTATTCTGAAGTAAAATTGAAATATCCTTTTTGAACTTATTATTTTCGCTTCATTTCAGCATGTATTTTTTCTTGTTTTGTATGTGAGATACGCCCGAAGTATTAGGCATATTGAAAATACCTTCTTGCATATAAATGTGGAATGTCATTATTAACTACATTGTATGCAGATGTATATTCTACTAGCCCAGTCAATCAACAGCGATGAAACATTAGTACTATTCTGGTACTATTATTTGATGATGTTAACCGATTCAGGGTTTTTATTCTGGTGTAGGAAAAATGTTTTCAATAGACCCAATTTATGTCTGAGGTTCCAATTCAACCTATCAAATTTTTGCTACTCGAGAAGTTTATAACTTACCAGTTTACCTTTTTGTCTGGCTTATTCCTATTTTTATTCTACTAGTTTCTATTAAGTTGTTTATAACGTTTTTTCCGTTTTTATGAGTCTACTTTAAACTGTAATATAACAGTGAATACTTCAATTTATTCGAAATAAGCGCCATTTGAATCACTGCACTTTTGCCAACGTTAAACAAGTCGAATAATTCCGTTAGCATAAAAATTGTGTGCTCGGAATTCGATGATTGGCAAAGGTTCTACCGGTGAGTAGTTATATACCTAAGTGCTTGAAAAGATGGTAGTCGATTGGCGAGCGATCTGGGGAGTATGGCGGGTGAGGCAGAACTTCTACCCTCAATTCGTTTAATTATCGGAGGGTGATTTAGGAAACGTGCGAACAGGCGTTGTGGAGCAGAATCGGACCTCTTCTGTTGACTAGTGCCGGGGTACATTTCGTCGATTTCCTCACTACAATAGGACTCTGCTGCGACGGTTTGGTCCAGTTGCAGAAAGTTATAGTGAGTTACACTAGCCGCTGACTACCGTAAAGTAACCATGGTCTTTTTTTGTGGGTTTTTGCCTATGGGAAGTGCCTAGGTGGCTCATCGGTGTCCAATCACTGTCCTGAACGTCTCCTGTTGTCGTAGAGGATCCACTTTTCCTCCCACGTGATGATCCAATCCAAAAAAGGATCATTTAGGTTGCGCAAAAGCGAAGAACAAACTTTGAAACGTGATAATTTTTGTCGATCGTTAAAATCGTTGGGCACCCACGTTTTGAGCTTTTTGACCGTTGCAATGCGTTTTAAACCATCAAAAACCGCAGGGTAGTTGATAGTCCAGTTCTTCCGCCATCCCACGCATCATTGCGATAGGTCAATATCTACCAGGGTCCTAGAATCCTAATCCTAGTCAACCACTTCGGGGCTTATTTTTGAGGCTAAAATCTCCAGGACGGAATTATGTAAACCAATCCCAAATGCATAGTTGATTTTTTGTGCTTTGGTACAATTTTAATTCGTAGAGAATAATTGGCCGAAAAATCGCTCAACGACATCATATATTAATAAACCTTTTTTGATGATGAAAAGTGGATCCTCTACGACAACAAAAGATGTTCAGGACAGTGATTGGACACCGATGAGCCACCTAGGCGCTTCTCATAGGCAAAAAACACGATACGACATTGAAAGGGACAAAACTTTTGAAACAATTCAAAGTAGCAAATTATTCTTATCTATATATATTTTGTTTGTGTCATTTGTAAAATTCGAGTAATGATGATAATCACAAATTTCACTCTCAACTTAAGAAGTTGAGAGTGAAAGAGAGAGGATTTGATCTCTAGCGATTCAAATCCAATGTGCTTGTGTTTTGTCCTTAAAAAAAGGGGTACATACAAAACAACTGATAGATCATCACTTGAAATCAGGCTTGAGGCCATATTTGATTTTTGTGAATGATGGTTGGTTGTATGTTGAATCTTGCATCTATATTTATCAAAAATCAACCATTACTGAGTGATGAATTCATATCTGCACCTATAAGATATGCTGAAAGGTACAACTGGAACCTCTGGCGTAGAATAAATCTAAAACAAGCACCGCTCTCAAACACCAGAACTGCAACATTATTTTCGATGCTAGTTTTGCCAACCAGGAAAGGAACTATACTAGTCTAGTTGATTTCTTGAGGACCCCAACTTGAGGAGTACTTGTTTTGGATTTATAAGATATATTGTTTGTGATCGTGAATGAGCCGTGAAAACACAATAGTTGATATTTCAAAGGAAATTCCTCTTATATATATATGGTAAGAGGAATCCCAAGTAAAAATATACACTTCTACGCATACAATCGAATTTGGTCAAAATGATATAGCCTAATCTAACTATTAAGTTTGATTTTTGTGCCATTTAGTCCCTCAAAATTAAACATTTTCAAAATGGAAGCAGCATCTCCAATTACTACATTCTTGGCACACTTTTAATAGGGGAGCCCACGATGCAAAATGGGGATTTATTCGAGCGTCATAGAGACATATTAGCTTGCAAAGCTATAGATTTTTAAATATGTAAAAAAATACTGTTGCATGGACATACTCGAGCGCGTCAGATATTGATAGCATCAATGTCCTACGTATTTTTAATAAAGTTCGTATGTTAATCTGATCGTTTGAATGATGCGGGTGATTGTACGTAAGGGTTAAAAGTGAAAAGAAAAAAAAATTAATCGAGCGCGTCAGATTTTCTAAAGGAGTGTTGAGTGCAACAAAAAAGCTGTCATTCAATAATCTGACGATTTCGATCTGACGCAAACTCGTGGCCATTATTATAATGTGCAAAAAAAAATTCGCCATTTTGAAATACTCAAGCGCGTCAGATTAAGATATCTATCGTTCATCTTTATGTTCTAGACGTGCTGTCTCATAATCTGACGATTATCTAGAGGGATTCGCCTAATCTGACAAAAAAATTTTTTTTTTATATTTTTTTAAATCATTGAACTTAATTAATTGAAAAGCTCAGGAAATAGTATGCAAATAAATAACTGTATGTTTTTTAAGTAGAATACTTGTATTTATAAGAAAAAAAAATATAAAAAAAATCTCAAAAAAATTCAATTTTTTATAATCAATTGATTAATTAATCATCATCTTCATCACGAATGAGTCTCTATGATCAGCTAAGATGGCGTCATGGCAACAGAATTCAGAGTAGGGACGGAGTGAGAAAGTAATAGATAGAGAAAAAGTGAAAGAGGAATAGAAACTCGGAGAGGGAAATATAGGTATCACCCATCTGCTCGCATTAAACTTTATAGACGGCTTGCAGAAATCGTCAGATTATATATTTTGTAATAATTGTATAAATGTAATCAACTCACTCTACCTTAATCTGACGCGCTCGAGAATTTCTGATGATTAATTTTTTTACCAATATGATCCTTTATCCTTCACGGGCGGCCTTATATGTGGGGCTCATATTTGGTGGAGGTACTTAACCGGGTACAAGGTATCCCCCTGTATATTAATCTGCCGCGCTTTAGTAAATCCCGAAATCCCCGCTTGTCAACTTCATTTTAGTTTTCCTGATATATCTCACCAACTTTAGGAATTCTTCTTTGTTCATTTACTCATTTAATTTTGTTAATTTCAGGTATTTCTTTTTTTCTTATTACTCTTTGATTTGTGGAATAAATGGCACCTTTTCATATTTTTCCTCTGGTCGAAATTTCACTTATTTAGAGTAAGTTTTGAAATTATCGAGTAGTATGTTAATAAATGACACTTGATAATAATCTTCAATTGCTTATTGATAACATTATCATTTGGAGTACCCACTTTTCAAAAATCAGGCGCCACAGGGTGTCACGAGACCTGTATCTAAAATTGATTACATAGATGTCAGTAATTTATAATGTTATCATCAATCACCAGGTTTTAATTGATATTTTACGTAGAACTTCCTAAGAATTGCGTCTTATAAATGAAAATGTGGATTGATACATTTTTGGGAAAAACCTGTTTTAGACTTCTCAAACTTATAGTAAATGTCAAATTGTCTACAAATTGAAAACTTTTTTACTGTCAGACAATTTAATTTTTTATTTATAGTACTGAAACATTTTAAGTTTAATTTACCGATAAGAAAATCTCAGAATTAATTTGACTCATCAGAGAATAGAAAACTAAATCATGAGATATTACCAAACCCATCATATGAACTAAAATGGAAAAAGATCAGATATGTTGTGTACATTCCACTGTGTCAAAAATAATTGGTGAATTTCAATATGTTGGGATGATATGGGTTAACAAATATCTTGAAGCCTCATTTCAGTAACGCTATCTAATAGTCGTTTGTAAAAATATAAAGGGCAACCTTCGAAGAAATTGCTGCATTTACGAAGAATTAAAGAAAATAACAGTTAAATCAATCAATCCTTGGACCTATCCTCTACATAATTTACACCTCCCATTTGACAACCTGTTTGAAAAAACTCAAATATCATGTGTATGCCGATGATACACAGTTGTATTATTCTTTCACTCCTGACTCTGTATAGCAAAGGGAAAATATCATCAATGAGGATTTGAATCAATTCGTTAATGTATCGAAGAAACATGCCCTGGAAGTTAATAATTCCAAATGCTCTATGATTGTATTTGGAAGGAAAGTCGCAAGGTCGAAACTTATAGATCTGATCATAAAAATTGATGACAGGTACTGTTTTACCAGTTGTAAATCAGGTTGAAAATCTAGGAGTTTTTATCGATGATGAACTCAAATTCAAAAAACATACTTCAACATTGATTCAAAGAGCATTTGGGAAAATGAAAGTATTATACCCTCATAGGCATGTCTTGAGCCTAAAAACCAAATTACTCATTTGTGATTCGTGGATAGTATCTATTTTCAATCATTGTGACGTAGTGTATCATTATTTTCTGAATAAAAATGAGCAACAACGAATTTAAAGAGTTCAAAACTCTTGTTTGAGATTTTCATACGGTATCAAGAAAAGAGAACCGATTTCTCATATACTCAAAAAAGCCAGGTGGCTGAAAATGTACAATAGGCGGAAATTCTTCGACATTATTTCATAAAGTTATTGTCAATAGAACACCTCCATACCTCTAAAGCAAAATAATTTATCGAACTGATGTTCATAATGTGAACATCGGGCGCAAAATGATCCATGTTGTTAGACACTCCATAGAACTATTCAAAAGGTCATTTACATATACGATAGCTGAATTCTATAACAACCAACCACCTTCCTTTCAGTCGAAATCTGTTTCCAGTTTCAGGTACTGCCTGAAAAAACACCTTCTGAAAAATCAATAATACCCGAATATATTCTATGACACATTGGCTCTTGTAGGTCATAGCTGAAATATTTGTAGTATCCTTATGTTTGTATCGATATCCGCCTCATGAATCAAATGTTGTCCCCGCCATCACAATTCCAATTTTATTTTAGGTCCTTTGTTATTTTTTTTTTGTATTTCATCTTTTTATTTTTTTCTTGTAAGGTGCAAGAGGAAGAATGAACTCTGTTCAATCTTGTATCCTATTGACAAATTTGTATTTTGTTTTTCTCCATATTGTATCATGTTATTTCAGCTGTCAATGAATTCATTTATTATTATTATTATTAAATGTATATATACAAACAAGATGGTGCACTTGTTTTCAATAATCGAAACTGTTATACATTGCTTAATTTCCCATTTTTTTGCAGAGAGGTGCAGAGGACTGCCGGAGTTTCAACAACGGATCTGGTTGGCAGAATGTTGCTGTTGACAAGGAATCATTTCAGGCAAGGTCAGTATGAATATCATGTAGCCAAGGAACACTCATCAACGATGGGTCAAGATTCATCCGCTAGGTCCCCCTGGACTGGTTGTTCACAGTTCTTGCCTACTACACAGAAGATAATTCAATTTTCTGATGGAAAACCTCCCAAGCCCGGCGACAGAATCATCTACGTGGCGGGTGCCTTTGATTTGTTCCATGTGGGTCATTTGGACTTTTTGGAGAAGGCGTGGGAGAAGGTTGGTATATTTTATTCTGAAATACAAAATTCAGGTTATGTTCTGCTAAAAATGAGCTGAATCAAACTTTGTGTTAATGTTTCTGAAAATGAGAGACGCGCTAGAAATTGACTTAAATCTTAAATAACTGAAAACTAAATAAAAAGAGTGGTTTTGTTGATCAAGTTTTCTAAAGTTATAGAAATTTTGTTGATAAAAATAAATTATGAAGAAATTGCCCCCATATATTTTATAAGAAATATGATTGTGATTGACTGAAAGGTAGCTCAAGAAAATGTCAATTTGATTACATAGAATATGAAATTCATATTCTCAATTTTCAGAGAGTCTTTTCAAAATTGGAGAATGTAAGTCCTGCCGTTCGACCTCTCATATCTTTTCACTTTTCAGGTTTGAATAGGAACTCTATCTTGGTTCTCTTGATTAAATCTACTTTATAAAGTTCAGAGCCTACTGCATGCTAAATATACTCTTATATCTACTTTGGCTAGGATAACTTAGTCGTCTGTCCAGCCTAATCCGTTATATCCATTATGATCTATAAGTCATAGTAATTTGTAATTACACTGTTTCGAATTTGCCAGGTTTCTGATGTTAGATTTGTGATTTCTGACCCGGAGAATTTCACCTGTGTATTTTTACAAAGTTCTTCTGTTTTGGACAATGACGTATATTTGTTTTTAGATTATTTATTGAGACCTGCGTTTTTTTGTAGGGTATCTTGGTAGAGTCTACGACAAAAGTACTCATTTCTGTTAACTTCTAACATTTTCTCCTTCATAAGCTGTTTACATTCCTACATGTTTTTGTTGTATCCTAGCTAGGTACCTTTAGTATTAGTCACATACACTGGATTTTTTTCACTTTCAAGTGCTTTTTTAGTACTCATTCTTGCCAAATCTTTATTCTATCAGGGAACTTTGTTTAAGCTTGGGAGAATGTTCGTTGTATCTAGAGATAATAGCTCCTTGTAATTCCTTATTTCAAAATACTCCAAATCAAAGTAAAATTTCAGGTGTACCTGATGACCCAACAAAACTCCCTCGTCAAAAACATTTCTTTTCTGAACATCCATGTATAATTAGATCAATTTTTTGTCATCTGTTAAATGATCCTTTCCACAAGGTATTGAGACAACTCAATTACCTGTTACACTATTTTTTTGAACGAATCGTAGAGTTTTGTATAGAAATGTATAATTATAAATTTTTATTGCAAAGCGCTTTCGACTTACGTCATCATCAGTGTTCACTCGTCAGGATGTATCGAAAAACGAGGACACAGTACATTTGTAAGATTTTATTTGTATAAAACTAATTAGCCTAATAACCAACGGAAACATGTTAGAGATTGAGGCTATGTGGTTCGGTCAGTATTGACATATTGACCAAACCACATGGCTTCGGTCAATATTGACATATGTAACATATTTCAGCAGAGCAAAACATTAGCTTTGCTGAAATAAAGTAGGTCTGAAGGCTCTGAGATTTCATTCTATTACTATTCATATACCTCATCTCATTTTATTTTACTAAATAGTAATATTTATGTAGTTTTCTCAATATGCCTCTTTATTTCAGGGTGATTATCTGATAGTGGGTCTTCACACAGATCCTGTCGTTAACAGATATAAGGGCTCCAACTACCCCATCATGAATCTACATGAAAGAGTGCTAAGTGTTCTTGCTTGTAAGTATGTGTCTGAAGTTGTGATTGGTGCGCCTTATTCTGTTACCAAAGACCTCATGGAACATTTCAAAGTGGATATAGTGGTACATGGCGAGACACCCGTCATGAATGATGAAGATGGGGAAGATCCCTTCAAATATCCGAAGTACCTTGGGAAATTTGTCACAGTTGATTCTGGCAATGACATGACAACTGAGAAAATAGTCGACAGAATTATAAGAAACAGGTTAGAGTTTGAGGCAAGGAATATAAAGAAAGAAAAGAAAGAGTTGGATATGCTGAAAAAAATGGAACTGAAAGAGAATGGATATTGATCGCTTTGTAAGGATTTGGTTTTCATTATGTAATTTTTTCAGAACCCACTAACCAGTCTTTCAAAAGAAAAAAATTGATTTTACTCGGTTACCATGAAAAATTGTTTTTTCACATTATTAAATCAACATCACATTCTGAAGACAGCTTTTGGGTTGCTATAACTTTTTATTGGGCATATAATTGAAAATCTAAGAAGATAGCTTCTACAAAATGTTATGTTGAAAATGAAAAATCTGAATTATTGATCATATTTCTCATATTCAGTGATGGTTTTCAAATATAATGAAATTTGCGCTTTGTTTTAGATGTATATGTACAATGTTTCGTATATTGTCCTATGGAGCATTTTATTTATTCAGCTGATATGGTTTTATGCCCTATTTTGGAGGGCTGTTATTTGAGTATGTAATGTATATTTATATTTTTATGATGTTATTCTGTAGCTGTATATTTTTTCCTTTGTATATTGAAATATATTGTTATTTTAATTCATTCCAAGAGATTATTTAAACAAATCGTCCGATGCTTCTGGGTTTATTAGTCATGGTCTGCAGTCCACGGCTAATAGACAACAATGTCTATCAATTTGTTATACACCAGTCATGAAAGCCTACACACCATGAGTTTATTTGAAATAGACTTGCTTTTCGTTAACAACGTTAGCATCATCAGGAAGTGACTAAAATTACTGATTATTTTTATACATCTGCCAAAAAATTAATCTAAATTCAAACTTAAGAGTATTTATTTGACAGCTCATTATCAATAGACAATTTAAAATGAAATTACGAAACTGATACAAAATTCTGCTATTCATATCTGCTATCAATGAAGATATGTTGCATATATTCAAGAAAAATTTTATTGTGAGATTTTCACTGAACAGTTTCACAAAAACGCAACACGTGTTTCGCTATACAACATCTTCTTCCGGCACTATACTAACGCCTGAAGAAGCAAGTATATAGTGAAACACATTGCATTTTTGTAAAACTGTTTGGTGAAAATCTCACAATAAAATGTTTCTTGAATACATTATGGATTTTCATCAAGTATCAGCCGATTACATCACATATATTCCGTGTTAGGAATAACACGTTAAAATGTAAGACCTCATTAGTCCTTAGCTCCACAAGTTTCGACTTCTGAGAGTTGTCGTTCGTATGCGTAGGGGTGCGGCGCTGGTTACCGAAAAAGAAACATATTTAACATATTAAACAAACATGTTGCATATAGTGTATAAGTTTTTCATATTTTGAAAGAAGTGCTCCAATTTTTTTTTCAAAAATGCTTCTCCCATTCGCACCAAGAAGTAAGGAACAAATGTTAATGGACCATGTTATCACTCGACTGATTTGTTAAAAACCAGACTTATTCTTGTAGTCATTTCAATCAGGTCCCCAGCGATTGTTTGAACAATTAATTATCTGATTGTGTGAAACTTTCTGGGAAGCTAATGTTGTATTAAATATTGATATTTTCACTCTATTGTTGAAGATAATAGGTATTCAATTTAATAACACAATCCGTCATGTAAGAATGGTCATGTCAATCATAATAGTTGCTGGGGATACGATTTTATTTATTGATCACAACCCCAGATGTGGATTTTAATGTAGTATTCTTCAGGACTAACAGGAAAAGTATTGTAAAAAAGACACTGTATTATAATAATATTTATTACTTTCATATTGAAATTAGAAATTGTCATGAATTATTGTGCATCGCGAAACAGTTTCAAGCAAAAAGCCATCTCTAACATTTTCCTATTTATCAACACATCCCTAGCTGAATAGTATCAGTACAAAACTATCACTCAAACTCAGGAAGCACTGCTACCTAACCCATTACTCATTCAGAATAACAACTACCATTATTCTGATGATGCTTTAAACCATTTTTACATTACAATGTACTAATATAATACAGTTAGAAAGAACCCTATTTTAATGTGCAACCCCAAGTGGATTTAACCAAGCACTACGTTTCGTTGTTCAATATATTTGATGGGCACTATAGGAAGAGGATCTCAGTAGTTGTTCATAAGACTAATCATTTATAATGAGATATTTCTGTTTGAATAAACGCAGAGGTTAAGTTAGGTTAGGTTAGGTTAGTTAAAGATTGAACTACCTACTTGATATGAGTATCTACTTGAAATTGTTGTTTGAGTCGACCATAAATTTGAATCATTATCATTTTAATGAATAAAAAGTTGGAATGATTCAAGTAAAGAATCAGAACCAGCGTTTGCTACATCATACTGTGAGAGTTGCAGTGGTCATTAATCAAAAGGGTTCAGAAAGGGCAACAAAACTACGAGAACTACATAACAGGACAAACACACGAGAACATATGACAAAAGATTTGTAATAGAACATGGGACCCCTAGATATTGTCCCAAGAATTATTGCACATATTCGAATAAATGGTTCGGTAAGCGTGATTCCTGAATCAATAACAAAACAAGTTTGGTTCAAAGAGAACACTACTAGTAAAATTATATGACTTGTGTACAATGGTGATAATTCGTTGAATGAAACCAAATAAAGAAATTGTAAATAGAATATCAACTTATAGGTTATCAACCTAAAAGCGGATACATGATTGTCTCTGAATGTCTGAGTAACATCGATTTCTACGAAATTAGACTCATCGAAACAAATAAATATCATATTCAAAGTAGAAAATATAGATTGTATCACCCTGTGTACTATTTAAATATTTGTTCCCTTAGTCATCTAACCAGTCTTCCTGAGCTACGTAAAAGAGTATCCTAACGATTTTTCTTGCAAGAAATAGTGAATTTCCGTGAAGGTAGGCCTTTCCGTTTCGTCTCTTTGCCAGCATTTCATCATTACATCATAAATATCCTTGTGGTTTGAAGGGCGAGGTAGGTAATTGAACTGTCCATCCTTATAGTGCAAGTGTGCCAAGTTCTCCATTACTTCGGAGTCGGAGAGGAAGCTAAACGGTGGCTGACGACACAGCGTCAAGATTTCCCATAATGTTACAGCAAATCCCCATACATCACTTTTTGTGGTATATCTGTGGAAAAAAAGATTGATATCAAGAGGCAATTTATGTTCAATTGGTGCTGGAATTAGAAAGCCGTCAATCAAACATTTTGTCAATTAGCAAGTAGGAGGCTGAAAAAATGTTAGTAAAAACAGGCATAAAGTTCACTTAAAAATTCAAGGTACCTAACTACTGTGAGATTTAAAAAAAAATGAGGCATCAGTGATGCCAGTTACATGAAGCCTGCATAATTTTATAAAACTGTATACCGCAATCATGATTTTTTAATTTTTTTGATCTAGCTGTATTTTGTACATAAAGGTGTTTATAAAAGTATTTTATAAACAGTTCTCTACCAGAACCAATTGAACATGAAATTAGTATCCAGAATTCCATTGTAAGGGCCTGAGACATACACCTTGAACAATTATTGAGGACGGGATCCCATCTAGTAATACAGCATCAAATTAGTAGTATTGGAATTTTGGATTAGTTGGCTTTGGTAGAACCATCCAGCTGTTGTAAGTTGCAAGTATAAAAAGTGATTTCTGCAACCATTACAAAAGGTAACAAGAACTCCCTTCCTATAAGATTAGTAAGAATAGGTACATACCTCGTAGTTGCCAGAACTGTAGAGTATTGTAGACTAAGACTATATACTAACAGATTTACAAAAGAATATGTCATGTTTGAGCAAAGCAAGAAGCTCCTTTCATTGCGAGTGAGACATGTTGAAGGCAGGTATGATCGAAGAACCAAGCAGATCTTGGTCGTCACTGTAGTGTTACAAACAGAGAGTGATCGACCAGATTTTAAGTGAACTACGAGTAACTAGATACTATCAGAACCCAAAGTTGGTCGTCTCTCTAGTGAAAGCTGCATATAGAGACAGAAAAAGGTAAATGATACACCTTAGATTGCATTTTCGTAAAGTGAGTCCTCATCGCCAATTTTGTTTCGAGGTCCCTATTAGAACAGAACCAGTTCAAACATTGCGTTTATGACCTGGCCTAGTACTACTGATGAGATCTGTGGCAGATTGAAATAACACTGTGTGCTATTGGGTCATGAAGGCAACGGTTTTTACTTCTGGAATCATATGAAATTACCTGATTTCAGTGAAAGCTATAGAGAGAAAAGCCACTTTGGGGTGGCCCATTTCTGGGATCAACTGGAAAGAAGCATCTGAAGCCACCAAAACCAACCCACCACTTTGGATGAGCTGGAAGCTCATAAGAACACATGATACTGAGCCATTTTGATTTCGGTAGTTCTTTACTTTTCTCACGTATACCCAATATACAACAAAAAATATTCAATAATTTAGCATGGATTTGGTGGCCATTTGCATTGCCTTTCAAAATAATATAACATATAATACGATTTTTTAATGTTAGAAAAATACAAGCTCATAAAGAAGTGATTCTTAGATTGACAAAATGGTTTAGACTTTCACGGCTGAGGTTTTCAGTGTCGTTGCTTTTCGAGTTTGAAAGCCGTGGGTTTTTGGCTCCGTTACGGGGATGACACCTTCGTCATCTGGAAACATGGAAGATATACCCTGACTCGTTTCCTAGACCTAGATGTACTAGTAGAACGATGTGGTACCAGACTAACCCACAAAGTGTATCGAAAACCCACACACACAGATAGATACATGCACGCACTATCGAACCACCATCCTAGCCAAAAGAGAGGAGTTATCTCCACTCTAACGGAACGGGTTTGGAGAATATGTGAACCAGAATATCTGGAGAGGGAACTGAAATACCTAGAAGTGACCTTGAGATCGAATGGATACAGTGCCTCCGAGACCAGAAGAGCCATGAGACCGAAGGGCACCACGATTCAGAAAGCGAAAAAGGATCAGATGGTTACACGCGCATTTCTACCGTTTGTTCCTAGGGTCACGGATAGAATTGGAAAACTATTGGGCAAACACGACATCGAAACAGTCTTCAAACCCACGAGGAAGATACAACAAAGCCTCAGGTCGGCTAAAGGCAAAAGAGACCCAATATCAGCAGCAGGGGTCTATCGCATTCCGTGCACTTGTGGAAAGGTATATATCGGAACCACCAAACGATCCATGGGAACAAGACTAAAAGAGCATAAAAGGAACTGCAGACTAGGCCAAACAGATAAGTCAGCAGTGGCAGAACACGCACTGAGTGAAGGAGACCACAGAATTTTGATTGAGGACACAGAACTAATTGCTCCCAACCAGGGATACCATAGCCGATTGGTTCGGAAGGCAATAGAGATCCACAAACACACGGATATTTTTAATAGAAAAGAAGAAGCGGTGAACCTCAATCAAATATGGAACCCCATTTTAAAGAATTCGAGAATAACAAACAGGACAACAGGTAGCAAGATTGTTAATGTTCCAGGTTCAAGTGAAGGTACGAATACAGGTACAAATACAATTGATTACCTGACAAGGCATAAATACACTTTACGAAGCCTAAAAGGGTAGTCATCAGACAGCAAGCCATGATGGTTAAACCTCTGAAGAAGCTAGCCACTCGCGCCAGCGAAACGTCAGGAAGAAATTCCAAAATCCCACGGCTTTCAAACTCGAAAAACAACGACACTGATTCTTAGATTGTTTTGAAGAGTTTAGTTTTAAGCACAATCCCATATATTCAATAAATATTTGATTCAACTAAGAATAAATAGTAGGTATGGGTAGTTTGAAAGAACTCACCTAGCTTGATAAACACTTTCCCAAGCCATCCACCTAATCGGAAGAGGGGTGTTGCCATCTACTTTGTAATAATCGTTGGTGTATAGTTCGTTGTATGTGCCAAAATCGCAGATTTTTATTTGATAATTATTTCCTACTAAACAATTCCTAGTTGCTAAATCTCGATGAACAAAATTAAGTGACTCCAAATATTGCATTCCTCTAGCTACTTGAACTCCCATGTAAATTAGGGAATTGAACGATATCGAATTCGAGCCATTGGGAAGACCAGCTGGATCGTCTGTAGTGGTATGCGTTCTCAAAAACTGACATAGGTCACCATGCTCAAGATATTCCATCACCACACATAATGGTTCTTCCTGGCTGCAGATACCTAGAACTCGAGCTAGGTTTGGATCTTCCAAGGCTGACAAAATCCGTACGTCCCGGTAAAAATCTTTCCTAAAAATTCAATCGACATTAAAATTGATCAGTACAATATAGAAAGCCATAAAAGTGACAAAAAATAAAATATACAATTAAATTTTATTAGCAATTTTTTTCTTGACGGACTTTTGGAAGCATCTAGAAGGGTAAAAAACACGGTAGAAAAAAAGAAAGTTCATTTAAGCACCTACTAATATCTATATTGCCCGAACACCGACAAATATTCATAGTGGGGTGAAAAATAAATTTATTCATTTACTGCATATTTATTTTATTATTCAATTTGTTGGTAATATTCATTTTGACTTGGCATCGACGTTTAGAACTGATGATCAATGAATTAGGTACAAGACGTATAACTGTATTAGCGACCGCCTCGGCTTCGTACTGGTAGCAGAGCATACATATATCTCTAATTTTTTTCTGTCATAGTGTCGCATCAGCTCGTGACCAATTTCAATTTTTAATTTATTCAACAAAATTATAAATGGATATTCACAATATGTAATCATATACAATACACATATATTGCCAGCCAGAAGCTCAGAATTCAATTATGCTTGTGAAAAATAATAACCTTTGAATCATGCAAACAAATATATGTTCACAACTATAAATTTTAATTTTAAAATAGGTAAGTACCTATCTACCTGAAGATAAAACAAAAATGCGACCTTAAACTCCAAAGTAATTCACTATGTAAAACAAAACGAATGCAAGAGGCCGTATTTTACTTGAAAAAAAGGGGCATTTTATGATGTGATATTGGCTACACTTAATGTTGTGAAAAACAGTGAAAAAAATTATGAACAGTGAAATATAGTGTAACAGAGCCGTAGCGAAAAGAAAAACCAGGGGGGAATTCAAATTTTCCCAACCACACCAGCAAAATTTCCCAACTTTCGAAAAAATGAAAGCCGAGGGATTAGTTAATACTTTATATATTAATTTTCTTACTTAGCTATCCAAAGATTGGCTAAATGCTTATGCCCGTTAGGGTATGCACAAACAAAAATGAATTTTGGTAATTACAAACATAATAATGGGAATTATTCTACTTTGGACCAAGGTCCTTGGTCTTCCACCATATCCATCATGTATAGGAATATTCAATACAAATGAGAGGAAACAACACTTAAATAACATTGTGCTTATTGTTTTCTACTATTATTTTTTTATCTTCACGGCCCGAAATTTCCCAACTTTTCCAAGTCGAAAAAACAGCAAAAAGTTGGGAATTTTGTAAAATTGTCACTTCAAAATTTGTGGACTGTTCTCTTACTTGGGATAAATTAAACTTTTTGAAGTTTTCAAACAAATTAGAATTTGAAAGTATGGGATCTTCAAGTTATGCATGTTGGGAAATCCCAACCTTCTCCTGGTTCTTTTCCTTTTCTTATTACCTCTCCCTTTCCTTTCTCTTATTTTAAATTTTCCGATTTTCATTCATTTCTTCACTATTATTTTTTTATCTTCACGGCCCAAAATTTCCCAACTTTTTCCCAAGTCAAAAAAGCAGGGGGGGATGGGAGAGGCTCCTCCCATCCCCCCATGGCGACGGCCTTGAGTGTTAACATACTTTTTTTCAATCTAACGTTCAATCAAGAACTCTGTTTTTGGTATACTCGAACTACGAATGAAAATTGAACTTTTGATATTTTTCTTTAATAGGGTAGCCAACCGTTCAATACGAAATGCCTTCTCAAATAGAATCTTTCATCACAAGCATAGGTGTGTGAAGCCGCTTGAATTTATAACTACTGAAGATTTTGTATAAATCAGTATTTTGGAACTATTTTCTTTTCCATAATTTTGATATGTGAAAAATTAACTTTTCATTTGAAAAATTCAATATTTATAAGTTTTGAATTTCTAGCATGAGAAAAACTTATTTTGGTCGAACTAGATATTTAGCAAAGGAAGAAATCCTAAATTGTAAAATTGATAACTCAAAAGACTTTTTTTCAATCCAAGTGTGAACAGAAATATATATGTTTTATTGAAGAAAAAAACAAGTTTCAGTCACCAGTCTTTTGTTCAATATTAATAATATTTATAGTTAGGTATATGAAACTTTTTTAAAGCATTATTTTTCTTCCAAAAGTTTAAATTTTTGCTTGAAGCAATTACAAAACTCATATTGCTTATGGAAAATAAAGAATTATGGAATTAAGGCTTAATCTCCATTCAACATTAAGAAGAGGTGAGGAATGACAGCGGAGTGGAGAGGTAAAATGTTCCCAAATTTCTCAACATATACAAAAAATATACCTCTTTTCCTCAGAAGCGTTCTCATCCAAAAATTTTATAGCTACCAGTTTTCTTCTCATGGGTGAGGAGTGTTCGGTTATATCGCCTGCTTCAGCGATGTAAACCTGAAAATGCAAAAAAATTGTATATGTAGAGGAAAAAATCCCGAATTTTTTACTCGATCGAAGAAACAATAAAACATTAAAGAAAAAAGAGGACACAAAAACAATATTATGGGTCCACATCATAGGAAAGATAAAAGCAAAAGAGATTCAATGGTACTGATTGAATTGCTTCAGACAGTAGCTGATTGGTAAGCATGAATGTTAAAAAGTTAGACACGCCTGAAGAAACTATTGTATAGCAAAACACGTGTTACGTATTTGTGAGACTATCTCACAAAGTATTTCTTGAATAAGTAAGACTTTGTTATTTCTTAGCTCGCACACGTTTTCACTTTTGAGGAGTGATTAACGGAAAACCCATTTCAATTCAACCTAGTTGGTTAATTCCATTTTTATCAACCTAATTAAAATATTCATACAAATCTTTTTGGCGGTATAGGTGAACACGAGATGTGCATCAATTTGAATACTTTCTACTCTTACTAGTATTACGTTATGTAATTCTCCTTTCAGCTTTGAAATTTGAGACATAGAAATGTACCAATTCTTGCATATAGAAAAAATGTGAGAACGTTTCAAATCAACACTTGCAAAAGTGAAGACAATTGATGATTCCAAAAAGGTGTCTATATTCTACAAACTACATGAAAACTAACGATGTTAGAAAAATTCGAAACAGATTCTTAGAAAGGAGGAAGTTTTAAAAAAGACTGGAAATATAAGTCTATTCAAGTTCCAGTCTACACACGGGGATTTGGTTAACGGTGTGAGATAAAGAGTCAGTCGAATTGTAGGCAAGTTAACTATTTTCGGGTATTACAGTGTGTGCGATTTCAAACCGCAACATCCTGTTATTTTGGAACCCATAAACCGATTTTGAAAAATTACAATTTTAAATTACGGTACTCGACAAGCTCTATCCAAACAGATATGAATTATTCTCATTTTCAAGGCTTATCATGACCTGCAAAATGGGTCGAGATTTCGAGAAGGACCATCAGGCATTTTTTATCGAAAATTGGATACCCCTTTCGATTTGGGCATATTTCGAACATATGGATTCCAAGTTGCTTCCCAATATCTCATACAGGGTGTTAGTTACATGGTGACGGCCAAATAAACCCAGCTTCGTTAAGAAGCCGGTGAAGTTACATGGGTTGTAATCTTTTCCTGGAGTTCTCTCTAGTTTAATTACAATCAATGCCGTATGAAATGAAATCATGAGAATTTTGCCAAGATCTGTCACCGGGTCGAGACAAATGTTTAAAAATAGCATATGAAGGGGAATTTTTACAATCATTGATCGACTATTCATTATACCAAAAAATCAAACGATATGGATAAAACATTTTCAACTTTTAATTTTTGGTTGAACTAGGAACATCTACCTGTACCTATTACGATGATAAAACTTCGTATTTGCATATTTCATGTGTTTCACATTTCAATGGTTACTTGAACTTTCCTTTGAACTGTACAGTTTGTTATATAGGGTAAGTCAAAAAATCATGAATTTGTGAATTTGTCATCATATAACTAACGCACTGTATAAGATATAGGGGTTTGAAATATGGGCTATCCACTTTTCCGATAAAAAATGCCTAATGGCCCTTCTCGAAATTTCGACCCATTGAGCAGGTCATAGTTTACCTTGAATATAAAAAAAATTCCAGATCTATCAACATCTTTGAATAGAAATCGTCGAGTACTATAATTTGAAATTTTTATTTTTTTAATCGGTCATGGGTTCCAAAATGACAGGGTGTTGCGATTTGAAATCACACACACTGTATATACTTTCTATTTTTTGTTGTATCTTCTTTATTCGCGGAAATATTAGAGATTTGTTCATATTGCAACTTTCCTTGGGTTATCAGCATATTAATATAGATTTTGTTGAGTGTCTAACCAGTTACAGTCATAAAAATAAAGTTAAATCATTAAAGAATCTGCTAAAGTGTTATAAAGGCCAAACTGAAAGGTTTACCCCGAAAAGTTAATGCGTAATATAAACCAATAAAAAATTCAGTGACTTGTCGTATTCATAATTTTGGCTTACAATTCGAATATTCAATAGAAAAAATAAAATTTCAAATACTTAGCTTTCTTTATATGGTTGACGTTTCGAAAAATAATCCTTTTCTTATGCAATAAATTCCTTTTTGAGTGAGAGATATCTTTCATTCGAAATAATTTCTAGGAGGACAAATTGAAAAGTCGTAAATTACTGAACGGAATCACATGCTACTCACTGTTCCGAAAACTCCTTCAGATAATTTTGACACCATGCGAAGTCGATGCCTGGGAAATTCCATTATTGTTTGCTCTTTGAGTCGCTTTTTCAGAGATGTAAGAGCATCTTTCTGAGTCAAAGGCTGAAATAAAAGACATATAAATTGCAAATAGAATATTTGAGTATTCAACACTATGTTCGAGTCAAGGGAATTATGTTTAAGCTTTGAATTTTCAGCATGATTTTTTTTTAGTCTAGTGTAGTTAACAGTTATCATTTGTTTTAGTGAATATTAATTTTTTATTTTGTACTTTGACTTTCTTTTGATACCGGTAATGATTTTGGTATGATAAGAGTATGATGACGTTAATTTTTGTGAAATGAAATATCGATTAAATAAATATTGAGTGCAAAATCTTTGTAACTTTATTTATAAGGGCCCTGTTAAAAACATTCCGTTTCTGATATTATTAAGGACATTGAAAACGTTATATTTGTGCGGGAAGTGGACTAAATAAAATGCTATTCAGTTCCAAAAATCCTACACAGAGTTGTTCCTATAAATATGACTCAAAATTGTATATAAATAGGTACAATTTAACTGAGGATTGTGCATATTGTGCCAGAAAATGACTAATGAAATGGCAAAAAATGAACGAGTGTTTTAAAAACACAATTAATGTGTCTATATAATATGCATTGTCATTTATTGAAAAAACCTAGCTAAAAATCACACGTTGAAAAGTAAGACCTTGTTAATCTCTAACTCACATAAGTCGACTTTTAAAGGTCATTGACATCGGATTGGCTCACTCCAAGGTGTTTATTCACCCTTCGAAGATTGATACCAAACAGTTGTTGGACTATACAGTGTGTCCAAGATAAGGATCCTAAGCATCGGAATCTCAGTACCTGTTGGAGATACAGCTTAGGTTAAATTAGGAAAAAGTTGTGTTCTTTAAAACTTATTTACATGCCGTTTAGAAACTTGAAGAATTTTCATGGCCTGCTGAGATATTTGGGAAAAACGAGAATTTGGCAATATCAATTTTATTTTTTTCTGACTTTATTTGAAAAGATATCAAAAAACGAATAACACTTTTTCATTGGCACTTTCAAGGTACTACACGATGGTATTTTTAGTTTTTATATCCGACGTTTCGTTTTCAAAAAACCATCATCAACTTTATTTTTTTANATACAGGGTGTATTTTTTTTCGGGCTATTTAAAAAAATAAAGTTGATGATGGTTTTTTGAAAACGAAACGTCGGATATAAAAACTAAAAATACCATCATGTAGTACCTTGAAAGTGCCAATGAAAAAGTGTTATTCGTTTTTTGATATCTTTTCAAATAAAGTCAGAAAAAAATAAAATTGATTTTGTCAAATTCTCGTTTTTCCCAAATATGTCAGCAGGCCATGAAAATTCTTCAAGTTTCTAAACGGCATGTTAATAAGCTTTAAAGAACACAACTTTTTCCTAATTTAACCTAAGCTGTATCTCCAACAGGTACTGAGATTCCCATGCTTAGGATCCTTATCTTGGACACACTGTAGTAGGGATGAACTACGATGCCTTCTCACAAGTCACTGTCATTTGAATCATCATATGCAGAGACTCGAACTGTTGGAAGACTGTGTACCGCTTCTGTTTGGAAATGACGAAACAGCAGAGCATATATTTTGTGCCTGCCCCGCTGGGGACCGAATCAGGTTTTTGGAGTTCAGCAGAGCCGTACTCTTACTATCTGACCTGAAAGACCACTCACCATACAAACTAATCGGCTTCGTTAAGAAACTGGGTTTATTTCCCACTCACTTTGGACCTGACCTAACCTAATTAGGGGACGACAACTTCTTAAAGAAAAAGTGGAGCATGTGCAGACATTCACTAACTTCCTAAAATGTATAAGAAGTTTCAAGCCAAAGAATATATTTAGAAAATATTTTCAATGTTACTATTATTACATTATGCATTGAAGAAGGAAAAACTATTATATCAAAATTAATATTTACTATATTGTAAAAAGTAAAAGTCTGGTATAGCCTAGCCTATCTAAATAAATTAATGGAAGGTGTTAATGATATTCAAATTTGTTACTTAGATTGGATATTCAAATTCGGTATCTAATAAATGAAGAATTTTTGAACAAAGAAGAAATTGTGTTTTTTGATGCTATCATACTCACTCTTTTCTTCTTGCGATCACTCTGAATACTTCTTCCTGGAATTCTTGGGTCCTTACTTCTACCCCTTGAAATTGGTAAAGTATTTTGATCAGAAGGAGAAAGCAATGACATCACGTCAACCTCGGGAACGGCATACTCATAAGAATCTAGAATCCAATATATTTTTTACTATGCATATATTCTGAAAATAATATTCAATAACAATAACTACAACAAAAAACGTTTGTACTGTGTTTGTCCGTGACTTGCATTTTTTTAATAAATTCGCCAACAACTATTTGTTGGTCGGTCTCAATTCCTCTCTTCGAGATTACGCGACCAAAAACATTTTCGATATAGATTACTTCTTGGGTACTATTTCTAACGGGATTTCCTTATCGTATTCTTGAGGTATCCAGTGAATGTTTTCCAACACAATTACACCTTTCGGATAAACAAGGCAACTCTTTCATTAAATATTATGTTGATTCAAAACTGTTGTCCGTTTTTATGAGTCCACTTTCAACTGTAATATCTCACCAATACTCATTCAATTCAATCGAAATTGAATCAGTGTACTTTTGCCAACGTAATTGATTGATCTGTCAGCATAAGAATTGTGTGATGAAATTGACGAAGGCCGTTTTTGCCTGATCCTGATTGGCAAAGGTTGTAACGATGGAAAATTTATCGCAGTGCTTGAAAAAGCGATAGGTCTGGGGAGTGTGGTGGGTGAGGCAGAACGTATACGCTCAACTTGTTTTAATTCTCGGGTGGTGATTTGTGAAACATGTGGACGGACGTTACCGTGCAGCAGGATCGGACCTCTTGATCAGCGCTGACTACTACTGATGCAATTTTTGGAGCTTTTTTCGATTTCCTCATAATGTTACTGTGATGGTTTGCCCCGGTTGCAAAAAGTTATAGTGAATCACACCAGCCGCTCGCTGGCCGCCGTATATACTGTAACCATGATCTTCTTTGGTGGGTTTTCATCTTTGGGAAGTGCCTGGGTGGCTCATCGGTGTCCAACCACTATCCTGAACGTCTCCTGTTGCCGTAGAGAATATACTTTTTATTAGACGTGACGATCCGATCAAAAAAGAATCGTTTTGGTTGCGCAAAAGCAAAGAAGAACAGACCTCGAAACGTGACAATTTTTGTCGATCGTTCGAGTCGTGAAGCACCAACTTTTCGAGCTCTTCGACTTTTCCAATACGTTTCAAACCATCAAAAGTCGCGTAGTAGCTGACGCCCAGTTTTTTCATCATCTCAGGTACCGTCATTTCCACCAGGGTCCTCAAATCCTCGTCCTGGTCACCTTTAGGTTGGTTTGCCAACAAATTTTGGCAAACCAACGTCGAACAATGTGTTCATTAACACCATCATCGCCAAATGCCTGGTTCAGGCTTTGGTTCAATTTGAATTCATAAAGAAAAATTGTCTGAAAATTGCTTAGCGACATCATATGCCGAAAAGAGGCTAAAAATCAAAATTTGGAAAAAAATTAACAGCATCAATGCATAACACAGTAGGATAAACATTTATTGTGATTTGGAGCTACAAAAACACATGACATTGAAACGTACAAAATTTTTGAAACAACCTAATACCTAACTCTTGAAACTGGGTCTATCAACTTTTCAAATTGGCTGGAGAGTTATACGAGTCTATACATACATATACATTAGACCGATAGACTCTGTCGTTCCTCTTCAAGACTTGCTTCTCTCGATCTCTTTTAATAAATCATCATCAATTGATCAATCAACTTCGAAAGGCTCCATTGGTTTTTTAATTGCTTCTAATTTGTCTATTTTCCTAGAAGATATTAGTGCAGTAGCCATTTAATCTTGCAACCAACTGTTGACGATGAAGGTCCATCAAAAGTTGGATACTTTAGAGTTTTGCTAGCTAACCATATCTCTTACTTCTCTCATTGCAGAAAATATTTTAAGAAATACTTTTTTCTGTTTTTTCTGAATTCAGTTTTTTCATTCCTCTGTCTGGTTCATTCCTATTTTCAGTTATAGTTGTTTTAGTTATTTAGGTAATATCTCTTCGGTTTCTTTTCTATCTCACATTCCTCTATTTTTTAAATTCAAAGTTCTACTTTTCCTTCTTGTTCTTTTGGTTTTTTCATCAGCTTTGAAAATCAATTGCTATCTTTTGCACCGCCGTCTCGTTATAATTTCACCATATATCTTGGAATCTGCCATCTTCCTTCTTCAATTTCACCCTGCCCTGTCACAAATATTACTCTAATTTCACAAAATACCTAAAGCAACTGTTCAATTATAATTCAATAACACGGAAGACTTCCTAACACAATTATTTCATTATATCACTTTCCCTTTCCTAGTCACAGTTTCACTATAATTAAACTGATTCTGCGTCTTCGCCACAATTTATATGCAGAGTGGTGTAGATAATGTTCCTACACATTCAGAATATCTTCTTGCATCTTCGGAGAATTATTTCTAACATAGGAAATTAAAATTTGATCTGAGAATAGAATAAAATGTATTGGCTATGATACATTATCACATAGGTACAGTTGTAGCATGTCAAAAAAAGGAAATATAATATCTAAAATTTTACATATAGAAGTAACGTATTCTAAAAACACCTTATTGTGTGATTTTCACTGGACAGTTTTACAAAAACGCAACACGTGTTTGGCCATACAATGGCTTCCTCGGGCGTGTCTTAATAATCAAATTCCAAATTTTGTGAATCATATGCTTGAATTAATTCGTCGAATAGTATCTAGCAGTGCGTTATAGAAAACAACTTCATTGATTGTTTGAAAAGGTACAAATCTTAAATTCAGTGATTTTTTACAGACGTGGACGAAACCTTTCAGTTTCTAATAAGTCCCCGATCTTGTTGGATACTTATGTTGTTGCAATTGTGAAGTGTAGTTCATTCTGTTTTTGTGTACTCCGAGTACTGTCTCGTATATGAAAGCTGTGGGAAGCGGCACAATATGGAGATGTTTGAAGAGTGGCCGACAGTGTATCCTGAAGTTGGTACTGAAGGGTCTTCCAAGAGGCATTTCCAAACTTTGACAATTGATAACGTTCATCTTGTTCAGTTTGTTTTGCCAAGTCACCATGGACGGATTTAGCATTCAACAATACGTGCAATTTTTTTTTGGTCCCTTGGGAGCTGTCTTACTTGTCTATTTTATTATATTGCCTGCCTCCTGTGAATCAGTACCTCACATTCGCATAAGATGTGTAGAGCTGTTTCTATATCTTCGTTGCATAATCTGCAGTTGAGATCTCCGTTGTACAGCCCCATTTTATTCAGGTGTCGTTTAAGCGGGCAATGACCCTGTAATTATTCTGAGCCGATCCCTACTATGTTGATGCAGTTCTTCGGTTCTTTTCTCGGGCGGTTTCCTAATAAAGGTTCTACTGTGTTTGTTGCCAGGTACTTTTGTCCAGTACTCTGGGTACTTCTTATTGGTCTATGTCCTAATCTGGTTTCGTACCAAATATTTGGTACCCCCAGATGGTTCAGGACCTATATATGAAGTTGATGATCCGCGTCTAGCGCATTCAGCTTTATCATAACTTGTGATTCCTGAATGCCCTGGCACCCAGTAAAAAGTTAATTTGTTCCTGTTTGCAAGTTCATTCAGTTCTTAATGGCATTCCCAGACCAGTTTTGATGTTACCTTCGCGTTTGTCAGAGCCCCTAGTGCGCTCTTGCTGTCAGTTAAAATATTGATCTGCTCATTTCTTTAAGGTCTCAATTTAATAAGCCTTGCACACTGCAAGATAGCATACACTTCCGCCTGAAAGACGGATGTGTTTAGTCCTAGCGGATAACTGTAGTTTAAATTTCTATCCGTGCAAATAGTAAAATTGTTTCATTAAACTTGGTGTTCTGTTCAGGCAACGTATCGTACACTCCGCCTTTTCACGGTCGCAATAATCGTCCTACCGAGAGGACTGTTCGCAATGTGGTGGAAAAATTTGAGTCCATTGGTTCAGTAAACGATGTCTGTGAGAATGTGCAGGAGAATTGGAAGCAGTCATTTCGCGTCGCTCACAAAAACTCGGCTTTTCGCAGACCACAACTTAACGAATTTTGCATCGTGACTTGGGCCTGCACCCTTTCAAAATTCAACTGACCCAGGAACTGGAAATAAACTACCATAGACAACGACATGTGTTCGCTGGAGCTCTGGAGCTCTGGAGCAGTTGGCAACTGACCCTAATTTTCATCGAAAAAATAATGATAAAAACTTTTAAAACAAGCTTTTATTTAAGTGCCCTAAAAAGATCAAAATAAAATTTTAAATCATATTAACCACATTCATTTATAACTTTACAGAATTGAAATTATAATAAAAGCTTGTCGCGATAATTTAAATTTGTAATTGAAATTTTGAAATTAGGTAGGCACCTACTAAACTTGTAAGCAATTCATAAAGTTTGTAATTAAATAAAAGTGCCGTGAATGCTTAAAATGTGGAACTTTAATCTTGAATAACTTTTTTGCACACATAGGATTTATCGGGTTTGAAATTTATTGCAGTGCCTAGTTGATCTGTCAGAATGTTTCTTCATTTAAATTTCATCTGACTGAATATGTAGAGATTTCTTCTAGGCATCGTGACAAGCTTTTATTATAATTTCAATTCTGTAAAGTCATAAATGAATGTGGTTAATGTAAATAAAAAGTTTATTTTGATCTTTTTAGGGCACTCAAATAAAAGCTTGTTTTAAAAGTTTTTTATCATTATTTTATTTTATATTTTTTAGTTTCAATCGATAGTTACCGATCAATACGAAAGTCCATCTATAAAACGGAGATTCCTTCAACAGAAGAACTTTAGAAACCAATGCGGTCCTTAAGCGGTCCTCAAAGCCAACATAACCCATGCCGTCGATCAAATTCACCAAATTACACAAGCCATGGTATGCCTCTTGTGCCTGTCACATTGCGTGACGGACCCTCTTACTCTGGGAACGTAGAGGGTGGTAGATAATGATATTTTTTTACAATGCAAATAAATATGGGTTCTTACAACCTAATACACCATTTATTGTCTTCTTTTTAGAGTCGGGAAGTAGATATTTAAAGATAAAAGCTTGATTTTTTTTTCCAGAAATATATATTTTTTATTGAAGCCAATCCCGGATGTGACATCTATTTCATGGTGGGCCTACCAACTGTCTATCATAAACGAATGCGTATACAAAATTTCGTGTCCCTGCTATTTACCGCCGAGGAGATCTCTCGTACGGAGCCGATCCTGGCAGCAGCATCAGGTCACGTTTATGATTATCATGCATTGTCAACGTTTCTGGACCAGCATGCAGAATTTCAGGTCAATCGGATATTGGGAAGTGTGTCAAATGAAACTTGCAAGATTTGTTAACATATACATAAACAAGTCAAGTTAAATAAAAACTTTTAAAAATTATCTTCACCGATGAAGCCCATTCCTGGATGCATGGGTACATGAACAAAAATACCGATCTACATGAGATACAAGAGCATACAATGCATCCCGAAATCGTCACTTTTCGTGAGGATTTTGGGCTGGCAACGTCATCGGTCTATATTTTTTTCGAAAACGATATTGGATATTCAGCACGAGAGATTTGAGGACATGGTCATCTCACGTGGAGGTGATGTGAACTGGCCACCGAGATCGTGCGACTTGACCCCGTTTGACTTTTTCTTGTGGAGTTTTCTCAAATCGCAGGTGTATGCAAGTAGGATACAAATTACGGCGGTCCTCAAAGCCAACATGCCCCCCATCCAGAGAAACCGTGGCGGACATTTGAACGATGATATATTCCACACATAATGGTATGAATATGTCTTTCAAACGAATGAAAAATTTCGATGATATCTCATACACACTTTGTTTTATTTGAATTTAAAGATGGAAGTGCGTAATGAAAGATCTTATAGAACACAAACGTTTGAGATAAATTATCCCATAACACTTCTGATATTTGCGATATCAGCATACTTTCATCGCTCACTTTGTGGTTCTGAAAAAACTTTGACAATTTGATTTCTTGCTTTTGTATACCTTGCATCGCAAACTAATTCATTAATGAGATATGTCAAACCGACATCTTGGTTAGGTGTTAATGAGACTGCAGAAATTTTATTGGCATACGAATCTAAATATTTTATTCTCCAACTGCACCAGCTACATGCATTTTATTAATTCATTTTCCATTTCATATGAGTTTTAAATCAATACAGTATTGAAATTTCTGCTTCAGACTATTCTAAAAACTTTGCGTGACAGAATATGCATATGATTTAGAATTTAGTTAATAAACTCTGATGGTATTACTCCGTAGTAAGGTTGTAACGATGAGTGCCCGAAAGTGTTGGAACGTTTGTAGGAACATAACTTTCGAGTACAAAAGTGTGAAACTTCAAGATAATGAAATTAAATATTTTCATTCCTCTCGAACAGGGCTGAAACAAGGTTCTGCACTTATCCCTTCATTGTACAAAAACATTGCAACCCTAATATTTAGCCACACTACAAAGACAAAGCCCAGCAGTCATAAAACTTACCTCGTAAAAACTGATTCTTCTTGGGGCTTCTTGGCATCTCATTTTGAATCTCATTCACAACTGGACTGTAACTGTAATATGGGGAATATTTTGTTGATTGATATGGCTCTTGATATTCGTTGTTTCCTAGTATGCTTTCAGAATGAGGCAGAGGTAATGTCGAGTTCATACTTTTAGTACTTTTACTGTCGTGACTTTTCATATATTCGCCAATTCCTGCGAACTTGTATGCTTCGATGGAACTTCCCTTTTCACTAATGTCAACTAGAAAGAAAATTATTCATGATTATTCGGAGGATTATTTGAATCAGTTATATGTGAAATATTTCATCCTGAACTCTGAGACCGTATTTTAAATGAATAAACTTGTTGCACTCGGTATTTAAATATTCTTAATCCTGCTGTAAATGTTAGCACAAACACCTATTGAAAATTTTGACCACTTAAGTAACCACGTCCAACTTTTTTCATAGTGGTGTTATCCAAAAGATTACAAGCTGATTACTTAGTCACTATGAGATTGATAATTAAGTTATTCAAAAATTACTTTTCCCAAATCATGTAAAAGAACAATTCGTTCAGTCCAGTCTCAACTCCCTACACAGTAGGTTAATGGACTGACACCTATCAGAAAACAACTACTCCCCTGGCTAATACCACGAAGGGCGATGAATTATATCCGACAGGTGTCAGTGCAGGATTCTTCACAGAAGTTATTCCTGCATATGCTGTTGGCGATACAACTGCCGCAATAGATTTTCAATTATTGGAACACACTTGCAGACCGGTTTCGGGCTGTTTGGCCACTCGTCAGTGCAAGGTAGTGTATATCATTAACATAAAGTCGATGATTTCCGATAATTGAAAATCAAATTCCTTCAGAGTATCAATCCTCGAACTAAGCTGAAGCATACAACAAACAACAGGTTTGTCGTCGCCCCATCTGCCTGTGAACGAGGTAACCAACTGCATATACAAAATTTGCCCAATTCCTCGTATGAGGAAGAAAACTTTTCACATATAGTCAGTGGGCATACTTGAAGAGTGGCTATAAATCAAATAATCTAAAAGAACAATTCGTTCAGGCCAGTCTCAACTCCCTACACAGTAGGTTATTACTGACACCTATCAGAAAACAACTACTCTCCTGGCTAATACCACGAAGGGCGTTGAATTATATCCGTGTATATGTATAAGAAAAAATACTTTTCTTATAGATGATGCATTTCAAAAATATTGTTTGTCATAGAAAGTGTTCCAGACCCAAAAATATATTTTTCGCCACTTATATTGTCCTTATTCCATCGATTCAGAAATATTTAAAGACTGTGAGTCAAAAATTAGTAATTTTTTTTTTCAGAAAAATTGACACGATTTCAACGTGTATTTGTATTACAGAAATTATCGAATAAACATTCGATTTAAGACAGTTACCACCTTGAGATGGGTAATATCATTATACGGAAATCGAAAGTCTCTGATAACTATTACTTTTTTTCAAAAGATAGCTTTGTTTTTCTCTCTGCCAATATATCCGTTGAAATCCTGAGTTAAATGCGAAGAGTGTGAACAAGTTATGTGTTATCGGTTGTGATTCTTGGGAACCGACAAATTTTCGTTTTTAAGAATGATGAGTGTCCAGCCTACTACAAATCATGCCAGAATCTGCTGCTTCCCATCCAGCCAAAAATTCAAAATTCTGACCAGGTGGTGGTAGGTGCTAGGTATATAGCACCTACCACCACCTACCTACCTAGCTAGGTATAAGATTAGCCTATCCGGGCCCAAGGCAACACAGTTCTTAAAAACCACAAAGACATTTCGAACTTCCTCAATGGTGATTGGTTAGTGAAGTTGATCATGCTCAAGGTCTACAGAAAGCTTCAAACTTCGTTAGAGCTGAAGTGTCTAGGTTTAGTAGGTGGAGATGCTTATAATTCCTTCTAGAAGGATTTAACTCGATCAGCGGTTGGCCAACTATCCACTCAGTAGGTTAGCAGCTCGCCTTGATTCGAATTACGATGTTAATATTACTATTGATGATCACTTGGTGATCATCGTGTCGTGTCAAGGTGTTGAAAGTAACGGTTTGTTGTTGGGATAAACCTCCAGTAATATTCGAGCCAAAAATGATTATATAATCACATGATATGATGGCCCCTGGTCCCGACCATTATGTGACATCCGGAGACATAACGAATTAAGAATGATAACTATCTGTATTTGTTCTGGTGTTGAGCAAGCCGATAAGATGTTGGGGTTTGACAGTAAGGAAGTCACAATACCACCAAGGACTTCTAAAATTTAAATAACCATTTCGATTGAGTGGTCAGGGTATAGTCTAAAGAAAAATCTCGATATTTAATCTATTTTCCTTTTCTTTTCGGATCATAAGCATCAAATTCAGAGTTGCACTCTTCTCGATGTGCGTTCACCAAGCGAGTTGTTGTAGTCAAGTTTTGAACAATATCGCCTAAACTGAAATACATCAGATGGTATATTTCACTTGAATTGAATAGTATAATATTAGTTGTTTCGAATAGTTTAGTTTATCTTCTGATACCGTCAACTTGATTGACGAATCGTGCGTCCAGAGCATTGTTGTAGTTCTGGTGTGTGGGAATAGTTTTTGTGTTGGAGCTGAACAAGGTGTTGAAGTCAACATTCTGACAGGTCATGATAAATCATTACAGGTCGCCGTCTTCAGCATCCTTCACAGAAAGGCTAAGGTTGTTTAAATAATTTGAGTTTGAAAATAAGGCTAATTCTGCGACTTGTAATGTGGTCCACTTTTGCTGAACGGCTACCAACTCAGTGACAGTGACAGAGCCCAGGTTACCTCGTTCTTTATTGCTTGGAATGCAACTTAAAAAAATACATTTTTTCATGATCAGGTATTGTACAGAAAATGAATTCGAAATCAAGAATATTGCATGGGATCCAACTAGTATATAGAGAAAACATTATCATCTGATCTACTGGATGCCTATTGATTCAATGATATACTGTATTCGGTCGGTCGGTAGCCAGGCGGTTCGACGTGGGTGCTTTGTTCACTCAGTCAATCGGCCGATGTGTCTGTCGATGGTTCAAGCCCCAGGCTGAACGCTCGATTTTCACTTGCTATTGTCCAACCCGTGTTAGGAATCACACGTTAAAAGGTAAGACCTCGTTAGTCCTTAGTTGGCATAAGTTTCGACTTCTGAGGGTTGTCGTTCGTAGGGGTGCGATAGCTGGTTAATGAAAAAAATATTTTGAACATATTTTTTGAATATATTCCGCATTCTGCAAAAAAGGTGTAGGTACTTTAGGCAATCATATTAACTTTTTGGTAATGAAGTGGATTCTATTGTTGACGAGAATATAAGAACTCACTGGATTCCAGTGGATTATTGAAGTATTTATTATATGTGATTAGAAATAAATAATACGTTTTTGATTCCCAATAGAATTGTCTTTGCTTTGAATTCGAGCCTTGTTTGAAAGGTACACAACTATACTTTTGGTTTTGATGTATCTTCACCATACACAATCTAAAACTTGTTTGCTTTTCAGAATGTTACTATCAATTTTCTGCGTGCCAAAATACGAGAGTGGAGTTATTAACCATTTCAAGTCAAATATTAAGTGTATCTACTATAGGTATGCGTAGTACGCGAAGAAACAAAAAATACTTAGTAATGAATAGTTTAATATTTACCTGAGTTTAGTATTTATGGGTTAGGTATATAAAAATTCCAATTACTGACTAGAACAATGACGCTATTGGAACAATGTTTACATGAATGAAATTCAAATATAACATCTTGATAATGAAAACAACTTTGTTCTGAATGACTAGATGTATATTTATAATTCTCCAATTATCAATAACGTTATGAGTAATTTCCTTCCATGAAGGCTCCGCGGAGGTGCCAAAAAGGATACCAAGGAAAACGCTCCCGTTCCCCCCAGCCAGACTCCTGGGGCTGCTGGAAGACCTTTCGTAGCAGATCCAGAACATCCTAGAGTAATATCCATTGGCTATCAGATAGCGAAAAATTCACGCCCTGGAATATCCTGAAGAAAATCATGAACTATTGACCACACCACCCCAGGCTCATCACGAACCAAACAACGACCCACCGCTATGGAACACGACACCCTAACGAACAAACAAAGGAAAAACTAACACAATACTAACATATATTATAAGATAGATAACTGTAACTGAAGAGGCATAAGCCTAAAGCAGGGCCCCACCATAAACATACCTTGTAGACACTAACAACACTAATCCCAAAAATTTGAATAAATACATTAGTCAGTCAGACATCATATATCTTGGTCGGTTGATAACTCGCTCAGAAGATGACACAGTATGTCGAAACAGCTGTTAGCATTAAATGTTAGTGTTGTGAAAACTGTGAAGTATTATTTTCACCCTACCCATTCAATTATAAATCATATAAAGGAAACAATTTTCGAAGGTTATCAAGTTTATTAATTACAAACCATCCTAAAATGTATTTTCGATTTTCAAACAAATATATAAACTTTCGGTGGAAACGAGGCCAAAGTTTTGATATCAAATTTTGTACGAAACAGTTGAATTCACATCTGCTTCCAGGCAGGCAGCGCAACCGGCAATAAGAATCTCAATAAATCTTGAAATTACCATGAGAGATATGGCCATAAATGCCCTAATGGTTTGAATAAATCAACCTCACGCACCAATATCAGCTGGAAATTATTGAATCGTTGTTCCACTCAAAACAAAATAGATTGAGTTCACATTCCGGACATGTATACACGAGAACTATATTGAATAAATGAAGATTGATAGCGATTGACACCGATATCCTACTGTGTATGTATCGTTTATTACATTATTTCAAATCGAAAACTTCACATGATTGAAAAATAACATTTGAAATATTCTTTTGTCAAAATAATAAATGGGTATCAATTTTCAAGAAACTTTTTTCAATGACAATGACACTCTTAGTGTATAGAACTTTGGTGTGACCAATTTTATAATATAACATTACAAATCTGAATCAATACCAAATCACAAATGACATTTCTCTGGTCTACCTTCTCGTACAATGGAAAATCCGGCATTGTCGAGGTGAGGTTTTTTCAAATATTGAAGAAAAGCACGTTCGCTATTGTATAGCGAAACACGTGTATCTGTTTTGTAAACCTCTCTTAATGAATATAATAATGAATATTATATAATATGAATATGAATATAATATAAATATCCTAATGAATTTGATGGT